CTGTGGGGGGCAGGGGCGCAGTTGATGGTCAGTGCGTTCCCAGAAGTCGGGGGGTGGGGGTGGGGGCGGGGAGTTAGCAGACTTTGGGAGTCAGAGACTCCCCAGAGGCAATAACTGAGACAAGTGTGCTCCCAGGATTTGAGCTTTGGAGTGAAAATCTGCGGGTGCCAGAGCCAAGGCTATGAGGAATGGGGTGGGCGGGGGGCGGGGGGCGGTTAGAAGTCCCTCTGGAGAGGCAGGAACTAGGCTGCAGCTGGGAGCGTCTAAGGGAACTGCAGATGCGATCTCCAAAGGGCTGGGGATGGGACAGAGGGATCAGCGGTCCCAGGGCTGAGTGGAACTGGGTTGAGGGCTTGACAGAAGCCAGGAATTGGGGGCATGGGGGACAGAGTGAGGCAGAGATAATCGGGTATGGTCTGGGGGTTAATCTGCAGACATCAGGATATCTGAAGATACAGGCAGAGAAGATGGGGGTGTCTGGGGTATCCAGGAGCATACAGTACTAAAAAGGGAAGTCCCAGAGTGTCTAGGGGGGTTTCTGTGAACATTGGGGTGTCAGAAACGCATCATTCAGAGAAAGAAGTCAGGGAAGCTGCAGTCATGAGCAACCCTCACAGAGGACAGTCAGGCTATATGGGGGTGGTCCTTGAGCAGGAAGTCATGGGTTGAGGTGCCAAGGAGAATCTGGGTGTGACCTAAATGGCAGATCACATTATTGGAGTGGCAGAGAGGTCAGTGTTGGGGTTCCTTGTGCAGTGGGCAAGAGAGAGAATATCTGAAAAGATGTCAGGGATACCCACGAGGGAATGATATTGGGCTATCTACGGATATCAGTGTTTTTGGAGTATTGGGGAGCCCTGCATAGGGAATGTGGACCTTGGGCTAGTGGAGCACTCTGAATGTGTGGGGCCAGGGGATCAGTAGTTGGGGGTGTTGGGGTGTCTGTGGATATCGAGATTTCTAGGGCATCCTGCAAGCAGATGGGTTGGGTGTCTGGGAGAGTAGGCAGGTGGGATTGGGGCCTCTTGGAAGATGAGCATGGCAGAGTGCCCACGAGTGGCTTGGGGAGTGTCCCAGGGCCCACCTGCTCTGTAGGGTCATCATCCTTTGGCTGCCGCGGCTCGTAGAGGTCCAGAATGGTGTGGGAGCCCAGGCTGATGGTGCTGACGGTCGGGTAGTAGAGTGGCCCATCCTCGTGGGGCTGGGGAGTGGGCACCAGGGCTGGAAAAGGCAGGAGTCCACACCCCCCACCCTCTGGGGTTCAACGGGGGCTCCCCAGCTGGGGACAGGGAGGTGAATGCCTAGTTGGGGCATGTGGCTGCTTAATGAGAGTGGAGGTGAGTTAACATGATGCCCTGCCCCATGGTAGATAAGAGGTCTGGGGGTCAGGGTGAGGGTGTGTGGTTACCATGATGCCCTCCCCAGGCAGATACTGGTTCACAAGGACGTGGTTGGCTGGGAGACCCCCAAAAAGACTGAGGTCAGACACTTTGTCCACGTAGCGCTGGAGCCACAGGGGCAGCCGCTCAGGAACCATGCCCCGGGGATGGGGGAGCCCACCTGGGGGAGGCAATGGGGTCCTGAGGGCACCCAACCAAGGAGCCCTGGCACCTGAAGCCCCCATTAGGGATATTCCAGTGAGTGGTGGCATACTGACCTCCTCAGAGACCCCTGACTCTTTGGAGATTGCCACCCAACCCTTCCTGATGCTTCCAAACCCCTGGATCCCTTGAGACCCACAGCTTGTAAGGAAATCCCTAACCTCTGAGGACCTCCACTGACCCCTCAGAATCCTTCTGGCCCCAGGGACCCCTTGAACCCTCAAGGACCCCCCAATATCTTGAGGCGAACCAACGTAAACCACCTGCTCCAGGACACATCCCCAAATCACCCATGCTCCCAGGCAGGAATACTCACCCCAGTTTTGTAACTTCCTTCCGGAGAGCTGGGTCCACTTGGGCTTTGGGGCATTGAAGACCTGGGAGGTGGGGAAGGAGTCACTCCTTTTTCAGGACCACTCTCTCTCATTTTCCCACCCAAGCCAACATAGGAGTCTTTATCTGGGGTGGAAATGGGTCATCTCAGTGTCTGTGGGATTGTTCTCTGGGATAGAGTTCCCAGGATTTTGCTGTTTGCCCTTTCCCCTGTGGAGGCTGCTGGCCCCAAAGCCCACCCATGTCTCCTGACATTGAGGAAAGGAGTCAGGACTACACAATTGTGGTCTGAATTTACTCAGAGGTCCGGCCTGGATTGGGCTTTTTTTGCCCAGAAAAACAGTCTGTACCATGTAATTTCCTGATCCCTGGGCTATCTCAAAACAGTCTGAGTTCTAGAACCTCCTCGTTCTTATCAATTTTGGGGAGGGACTTTGCTAAGCTGGGCTAATCTCAGCATAGCAAAGAGAATACTTTGAAAATGCTCCACTGCCAAGGTCCCAAGGATCTAGAATGGGCAATTTCTAAGAAGTCCAAGAAGTCTATACTCTACTCAATAATCTCCTCATTCTCTTTATGGTTATGGGGCTGGAATTGGCTATCTCAGTGCAAGAGTCTGTGTTCTGTGGCTAACTTTTTCCTGGAACTCAAAACAAGACAGAATCAGTTGGAATAGCACAGGGAAGATGTGCTCTATAACTAAGACTCTGCAAAGGTTTATCCCAGTGCAAGGACTATGAAATTCTTCTTTCCCCAAACCATTAAAAATAGAAAATACAGATAGGGTTATCTCAGCACAGGTGATCTGTGCTTGGAAAACACTGTCCTCGAGACTCTGAGTCTATGCTGAGCTATCTCAGCAAAGGGAAGAGTTTGCTCTAACATTCTGAGGCCTGGGCTATCTCAGCGCAGAAATCTGAACACTGCAAATTCTTCATTCCCTAAATATTAAGAGCCTGAAATGGGCTATTTTAGCACAGAGTATAGGCTCTGTAACTTCCTTGTTACTGAGGCTATAGGCTTGCAGTGGGCTGTTCTAGCACAAGGAATCCAATCTCAATAACATCCTTGTTTTGGAATCTGGACTGGCCTATCTCAGCACAGAGAGTCTGAGCTCCATAACAACTTCTTTTCTAAGAATCAATTTTGTTTCTCCTTAGCCTCCTGGAAAAAGCTCTTTCTGACAGGCCCAGCGAGTCTAGAGAGAGGAATAGGAAAATGAGGGATGGGTGCTCTACGGCACTCTCCTTCCTGCCAGGATCTTCACTAGAGACATGGGGGCTCTCACACAGGACCTAGGGGCTGGAGAATAATCTGGAAAGAGGGGAAAAATAGACCAGAAGGGCAATGGGATCACCTGTCGCAGTAAATACTCCTCTTCTTCCTTGGAGATGAAGTCGGGGACATAGTAGATTACAGGTGGTGCCTAGGATAGAGAGATCCCCCTGAAGGTGGGGCCCTTTGACCTACACAGGAGCCCTAGCATTGCTGAGCAGCCCTCCCTCAGGATGTCCTCTGACAGATCAAAGCTTGAAGTCAAGGGACCAATGCCCATTTTAGGGACTGGAAGTTGGGTGAGGGAAGGACTGGGCCTTGAGGGTAAGAATGAATTTGGAGGGAACAGTCCTAACTCACAAACCCAGGAGTCAGCCTACTTATCCCCACTCTATCTCCCACCCTCTGGTCCCCACCTTCACCCTCTGTACCCCAGTCCTAACAACCTGCTCCACCCTGAATGTTTCCAGGGCTGGGACCCTGGAGTCCTGATCCTCCATCGACACCAAGTCCACGCACCCAGTCCTGTGGGAAGGGGAGGACACGCTGAAGTCACCAAGCCTCCCACACTCGGGCTATAATCCTGCTTTCTGCTCTGTCATGGGCCAGATCCTCACCTCAGTCCTCTAACTGAACTACTTTAGTTTCTAAAATCTGAGTCCTCGGCATCTCAAAAGCCACCCGATGAGCACCCAGAGTACTCACCCAAAATCCATCCGCCAAGGGCCTATCAAACTATATATATTTGTTTTCTCAAACCTTTCACAGAGAACATCCTCTGACTCCACTGAGAGCCTTTCTCACGAGCTCCACACAAGCCTCCAGGACTGCATCCCAGGACCCCTTTAAACACCTTAGTTTGAGACCCTATCCTAACAACTTCAGATCTGCTACCATAAGCCTCGTTCCCTAAGAACATTCAGGGTCCTTATGGACCCTCCTTCCGCCTCAAGCCCTTTCAAATGCCCCATTCCTAACACTCTTGTGCCCCCTGAGTCTCCTCTAACGCATCCACTGTGACTCCTTGAATCCCCCCACCCTGGACCCCCTCAGACTTCTCTTCCAGAGCGCCCCTTCGCTGCAGCACCCTTGGACCTAGAGCCCTGACCTGACTCCTCTCAAACCTTCTTTCCTTCTTGAATCCCTTAGACGCCCACACTCTGGATCTTCTAGGACTCCACACTCTGAGCTTCCTCGAACTCCTATCTGAGCTTCCCCAGGTCCCCACCCTCGGCTCTCTCGGACCTCTATTTCCACCCTCCGCCACTCACAAAACTGACCGTCCACCAGTGACCCCTCCAATATCCAAATTCAACACCCTATTCCTTTCCCAGCTACTTCCGCCCCCACGTTCCTGACGCAGGAGTCCTCAGACAAATGGGAACTCTCAAAGGCCTTAAGGGTCCGCCTTCCACCCAATCAGCGCTCTCATCCAGTACTGCCCCACCCCTTCACCCTCATTCAGTGATAGGCTGCGCCTCCCTGCCTCTGAGCCACTGGGAACCCTTCGAAGACCTGTCATCTTCTAGCACCGACCAATCAGAGCTCCAGAACGAAACCTGTTCACGCTGCAGAGCGGGAGCCCAGATGGGAAGGGGCAGCCGTGGCAACTGCAGGAAGGAGACCAGACTGTTGGATTTCCCGCAGGCTAGACGATCTGATACTCATGCTGCCGGGAGGCGAGACTGAGGAAAGGACTTCCTCTCCCATCCTCCCCCAGCAAGAGTATGGAGGCAGGGACATAACTCCTCAAACACCGGCCCGACACAGAGAAGCCATAGAAACGTCTTTATTGAAGGGCGCAGGGATCATGCTGAGTTCAGGGACATGCAGTGAAGGGGCAGTCGTGAGCTGTCCTTGGTAGTCCGGGCCCCAGGTCTGCCCTGGACTTCCGGGGCCTTCAAGGTCTCCCTCAGGCCGTTGGTCTGGCCAGAGTGATGTGAAGTCCTTTGGGGCTAGTGACTCAGATTTGGTGTTTTGGACCTGTGACCAGAACGTAGATTAAAACGGGGCCTCCAGGATTTGGGATCCCCCTCAAGGCCTTGGGGTCCTATGTGTATTAGAGATAGAGGCTTTAGGATTTGGGGTTCCCTTGGGGCTGGGCTCTTGGAATTTGGGTGTCTCAAGATCCGTGACTCAGGGCATTGAGGTCCTCCGGTTTCCAGGGATGGGCCTTCCTGTTTAGGGTCTCCTAGGGCTGGAGATGCTGTAGGAGCCCGGGATGCATGTCCTAACTGCAGTCTCCTCCATCCCAGGAACAAGGACCTCTGTCACTCAGGTTTCCTGGGGGCTTGGGATTGGAATTTTAAATTTGGGATTCCCTGGGGAATTGAGAATTCCATGGCTTGGGGGCCCTGGGAATTAGGGCTTTGGGGTCTTCTAGGGGCTATAGGATTTGGGGTCTCAGGGAAGTTTGGGACATGTACCCTGGGATTTGGGATTACCCAGTCTCAGAAAGGGGCTCCATATTTTGGGGTTCCCCAAAGGGGGAAGTTATTACTTAAAAAATAGAGAATTTTCTGGGAACCTGGCCAGCACATGGGCTGTGGGCCATGTAGGATGGGCTTCATACAAGGCACTGGGGGTTTCTTGAGGGTGCAGAGGGTAGGAAGACTTGGGGGTCCTGTAATTAGCATTTCCAGGACTGTTTTGGTGTCCGTAAATTGGAGGTGACGGTGGGCTGGTTAATGTGAGTCTCTTCTTAGGTTACCCCTCAACAGGAGGTCTTTGTTAATGGAGGGGGTCTCTGATTGCAGTATTAAGATTTTTGGGTGACCATGGGGGATCACAACATCTTGAGGAAATTGTCGTTAAATGTGGGATAGTGACATAAAGGTTTGTAACTCTGTTGCTCTGGAGGTGTGACCTGATGGGAGGGGGTTTTTTTTTAATGAGGGAGGGTTATGATCCACTGATGTGGAGAAGGTCACCTTCATTTAGGGTGATGGGGAAATCTGTTAATGGGGCTCTGCTCTGAGGGGTTGAGAATAGGGACTAACCTGAAGGTGCTACACTCTGGGAATCTCTGGGGAACATGGGGTCTGTATTTGGGGGGTTCTCATGGGGGAATCTGTTAATAATGGGGCCTCAGTGATTAAGGGCTGGCTAATGGGGGTCTCTATTCTGGATGTGTTACTAGGGATATCTATTTCAGGGTGACTTGGGGGCTTCTTGCGTCAGGAGTTGCTAGAGGGGGCTGTGTCTCTGACGGGTGTCCAGGGCCTCTAAGACTGCATCTCCGCCCTCAGCATCCAGGGAAACCAGCAGCAGAAGAGCAATCTGGAAAGGAGAACTGTGTCAACCCCTAATGCAGGGGTGGGAACATCCGGGTCTATCTCCCTCAGCTCTCCCCAGGTGGTCTTGCTGGATTCTGCTTCTACCTCTCTGGCTGTGCCTTCTCAGGCTCCTGTGGAGGGTATTCTGCCTCCTTGACCTGCCCCTTTAAAGTTGAAGTCTCCAGAATTCAGTGCAGGGCCTCACTCCTTAGAGACTGTTTCTGGGTAAGCAAACTAGTCACAAGTTTTCCTAACCTCTATTTCCAGCCCCAACCAGAACTCCAGATCCCTGTGTCCAATGGCCTGTGGAAACCTCTTCCTCAATATCCCAGAGGAGAGTGGGCAGAGGTTGGCTACAAACCTGGAGATTGAGTTCTCTGATGCGATGTCCTTCGGGGTCCGGACTGTCGTGAAGGTGCGTTTGGGTTGCGTCACTGAAGGGAAGGGCAGGGTCTCGGGTGAGGGGATCATAGACCCACCTGTGCCCTCAATACTCACCCAGACTCCTGGACCCTACGTTCTCAATACCTGTCTTGACCTCTTTTTTCAACAATATTTTGTGTCCCCCAATAGCTACCCATGTCCCCAGTGCCTACCCAAAGCCTTGCCGTTAACATCCCCATATCCCATAGCACCTGTCCTCTTTGGGATCCTATTTCATCATTTTCCTGGACCCTATGTCCCCAGTTAGATGCTGGAGATTCTGTCAGTAGTCTATAGCATGACCCTTCCTCCTATCCTCAAACCCACACTCCTCCCCACACTGTAGCCCCCAACTCACTTGTCACTTGATGTACTTTTTTGGCTCCAACATTGTCCCCAGGGGGGTCAGTGGATCCACCAATCCTGGGGAGACACAAGGAGTGGGAGGAGTCAGAGACATAGAAGTCAAGGCCTGACCTGGAGCTGGGGACAGGGGGCCCACACAAAAAGAGTTCGGGTGTGGGGGTGGGTAGCCACACTGTCCTATTGATCCAAGAGGAGGAGACATCTGAGAGGGCATCAGTGTTTGGATGGTGCCTTGGGTTAAGGTCAGAGTTTGGGCTCACCTCTGAATTCGCGATGCTGGTGCAAAGACTCCATGTCTTGAGGGGCAGGTGAAGTACCGGACACCGAAGACAGAGCCATCATGCTTGCCCGTGGGCTGGTCTAGCTCAATGCCGTACCAGTAACCTGAAGCAGAAGTGTGTCAGGATGCCTCGAGGCCCTGCCTGGCCCACAGCCCACATCCCCATCCTCACCTGGGGCAAAGTCTGTCTTCCCATAGAAGCGCACAACCCCTTGCTTCTGGCCTGCTACAAGGACTTGGTCTCCAACCTCAGCCTTGGCTCCCTCACGCTGCTGCAGGCTACCCAGAGATGGGGATGACGGGGGTTTCTTCTTGCCTGAGAATGGAGGGTATGGGAGTGGGAGTGGGGCTCCCAGACACCAGCCCTGGGAACCCCATGCCACCAGAAAGCCCCCAGGCAGAAACTCCTGGCTCCAATCAGAAGAATCCCATAGTCTTTCCCAGAACTGCAGGGTTCTGAGCTTGGAAGGAAACAATCCCAGCTGCTAGAGAACTTGCAGGGGGAAGCTTTAGGCCTGAGGACAAACTGAGTCAAGAACCAGGAGAACCCAAAAATCCTTTCTCAAAAGCTGAGGATATTTGGGCCAAAGGAAAAACTGAGTCACAGAAGTCAGGAACCCAGAACTTGTCCTTTTAAAATGCAGGCGGGAGTTGAGTCTGAGGCTAACTCAAGTCACTAAAGCCAGGAACCCCAAATATTCTTCCCTAAAACTGGGGGAAAGCTTTTGGGCCTGAAGGTAAACTAAGTCATAGAAGGCAGGGAACCCACAGGTCCTCCCAAGAACTAGATGGGGCCAGTACTAAGTCAAAGGAGAAATTGAACCACAAAGGAGAACTAGATGGGGCCAGTACTAAGTCAAAGGAGAAATTGAGATCATCCTCTAAAATTAGGGAGTTTGGGCCTGAGGAGTCACAGAAGCTGGCCTACCTACAGAATATCCCCAAGACTGGCTCTCCTCGCCACTAGGCTCCCCCTCTGACCTTTGTGTTCCCTGCGGCCCTTGCCAGTGACACGGGAAAAATCCATCCGGGGAGTCCGAGGTGTGGAGGTGACAGATGAAGGAGGTGCATCTACTGCCTTAGAGATCTTGGACACAGATGCAAAGAGACCTGGGGGGACAGAGCCTGGGCTGTGAGTTGTCCAAGTCTCTGCCCTATGCCCTCTGCCCTACCATCATCCCCCAGCCCCCATTACCCAGACAGCAACATCAGAACTACTAAGTGGACCCCACCAGCACTCCTTTTGGGCCCCAAGTAGGACTGACCCTGCTTGGGAGGGCAGATGAAATACCGGACACCCCCAACACTGCCATCATTCTTGCCCTCAGGTTCATCCAGCTCCACGCCCACCCATTGGCCACTGGCGAACTCCGTGGTCCCACAGAACCGCAGTGTGCCTGTCTGAGGAAATAAGAGAGGACATGGCTTGGGGGCGCCTTGGGAGGCCATGATAGATCACTGGCACAGGGAGCCCCAGGCTCAAATCTCAGCTCAAACATCACCATTAACTAGCTATACAACTTCACTTCACTGTGCCTCAATGTCCTCATCTGCAAAATAGGAACAGAAATCACGCCCACCTTATAGGACTGTTATAGAGCTGCCCTGTCCAGTACAAAGTCTGAAGAACACCCTGACCTTCTGGCCATCCAGCAGCACACGGTCTCCCAGGCGCAGGCCCAGTGCGCTGAGCATGAGATTGCCCGGGACGTTGTCATAGTTGGGTAGCGTGACCTTGGGGAGGGCACAGGAGAGTGGCACAGCTTCCTCCAGCAGCGTTCGTAGCTCCTTGGCCACCAGCGCCGCCTCCGCCTTGTCCAAGGACATGTCCATGGGATCTGGGACCACCTCCGCTGGCACCTGTCCCTTTCGGTTCTGGAGATCAATGGGAAGAGAGAGGGTGAGGACTCAGCAGCACCGGCTGTACCCCAACCGAGCCCATGCCCCAAGCCCCCAGGTCTAGGTGAAGCAGAGGTGGGACTAGGTCACACTTTGGGCCAACATGGGAATAAGAAGCGTTGGGACATTAAAGTACAAACCACGTCCCCAGGGAAGTCCACTCCTGAGATCTAAGGCTGGGGATGTCAAGTAATGGGGGTAGGACTACCGTTGGGGCCAACAGGGAATGAAGGTTACACTTAAGTGCTATCAGTCATGCCTTCAGGAAGGTCATGCCCAGAGACCCCAGGCCAGGAATGGGAACATGTGAGACATGAACATTAAAAATAATGGGCCAGGGGTGCAACTGAGCCAATAGGGAAGGAAGAGAGGCAGGGCCTCAGGGGCACAGGTGTCACCCCAAGATATCTGTGCCTGGGATGCTGCAGAGTAATTGGTGTTGGCAACAGGATTTGGAAATGGATGGGTTGGGGTCAGAGATCATATTGTGGGCTTATGCGAGGCACAGCCCTCTCTTCATCAATCTGACTTTCTTCATGATCTCGAAATGCCATCTATATACAGCCACACAATCAGTCAGGACTGAAAGAAGATAACCCTGGATAACCCTGGATAACCCTGCACAAATCATGCACACTCTTTGCCTCAGTTTCCCTATTGTACACTAGTGTTTATGATGCAGTTCACCTGTCGTATCATGAATACTAAGTAAATGTCGGCCATTATTACATTTGTTGAAATGTACAGATGATTTTCATATTTTAAGAGCTGCTAGAGATGCAAGCAATCAGGACCCCCCTCATCCTCTGCAGAGGCCTGTTGGCCTAGAAAGGAATGGGGGGCGGTAGGAAGGAGAAGGAAGATGACAGTGCTGTGCTGGCGTGGCAATACCCGAAGCGCTGGGTTGGCACCGTGCTCCAGCAAACATTTGGCTGCACCCAGGCACAGGTTGGAGGCAGCAATGTGCAGGGCTGAGCCGTGGTTGAAGTCACTGCATGTAGAGTTCACCACTGGGAGGTAGGCAAGAGGAGAGATCCAGGTGAGCACCCTTAGCACCCGGGACACCCCTCTACCTTCCAGCTTGCAGAAGTCCATCTCGTAACCCGCAAGCCCCGGTGCTCCCGCAGAACCCTCGCCCTCCCTTCTCAGCCACTCCCCTCCTGAACAGGTCATAGACCACTGAGCCCCATCTCCCACACCTCCTACCTCCAGATTCCCAGGATCTCCTCAGTCTGGTCCCCTCTCCCAGCCCGGCCAGGCGTGTTTGGCCCTATCACTTGGCATCCCTCCTTCACTTCACGTCCCCTCCCCCAAAACCCTGGGCACCCTCCTTCTACTTCCAGGCTTCCTCCCTCACTGGGTCCTGCCCCACCTCCCTAGCCAAGACGCCCCCCTCACCTCGAGGCCGTGTGCCCTTCAGCAGCACACGCACAAGGTCGGGCACATCAAAATAGGCTGCGTAGTGCAGCGCGTTCATGTTGGTCCAGCGGCTGCGCAGGGTCACATCAGCGCCCAGCGCCAGCAGCTGCTGTGACAGGCGCACTGCCGCTGCGGGGTCCCCTGTGTGACAGCCCAGGTCAGCTTGCATGCCCTCCTCCAGAGCCCTGGGACTCAGGACTGCACTTTGGGATATCAGTCTGCAGGTTCAGGATGGGGAACTGGGGACCAAGGTTCTGGGTGATTTTGAGGGTGTTGAGTCTGGGGGCCTAGGTTTTGGGGCACATGGTTTGGGGGTCCAGACTCTTACCGACTCCGTGGGCCCCAGCCTTGCATGCATAATGGAGCAATGTCATGTCGGTCAGCCCATCACGATCATTCACATGGCAGCCTCGACGCAGAATCTGGGAGTACCAGAGGAAAAGGGGGGCTTACCCAAACATGCGAGGGAACCCATCCTCTCCTTCCCTGGCTTCCCAGTATTTTTTACCTCATTGCCGATGACATCAATTTTGTGCTGGACTTGGGGCACCCACTGGCGCACAATGGCGAACAGCTCAGGGACAGTGGTCTGTGGGTCAAACAGAATCTCCTGGCACGCCGGGTCATTGGGATCAAAGAAGGTGAAGGCTGAGGAAGCGAGAGGGCCAAGGTCACCCCAGGCAAGCTGACCCTCTCCTTCCATCCTAACGTAGGGGACCTCCAGGTTTTTGTCTTTTAAAACTATTCCAAATGCAGGGTCTCAAACTGGTGGCGCATAGGCCATAGGCGTATTCCATGTGGTCAGCATGAGGTTTCAAAGTCAGAAGGTTTCACATAAAAATCTGGATGCCCAGTATGTCTTGAAAAATTGGAAGACTGGACAATTCCCACAGACAATTCCCATACCACACCTTGGAACAACTGTGTGGTAAGGAGTGTAGCACCCTCGAGTCTGCCTTCCCAAGGAGGCTGCTACTGCTCTAACTCACTGTTGCCCTGGACGAGTATTGGCATACTTTGGCCAAATCTCCAGAGTAAAAAAAAAATTAATTAAAAACCACAAATCCTATTTTATAAAAAAATCTCCCCAATTTTTCAAATGCTGTATCATCCACATAAAACGTATGCATGGTTAGGATTCATCCTGTGACCAGCCAAGGTGGTGCCCAGAGGGACTTCCATCTCCCCCCATTAGACTCTGAGGAGCGCTGCTCTCTGTAGTAACACCAGCACCCAGCACAGAGCCTGGCACATGGCAGGAACTCAGTGCACATTGAATGAATGAGTAAATGAACGACCAGCTGTTACAGAGCCCAGGGAAGTGCCCCCATAGATGTCTCCAGGAATCAGCCTGTGTGCTTCTTTAAAAACCCATCACAAAATAGCCCCTTTGGCTCAGAACCCTGCCCTGATTCCCATCCCACTTCGAATATAGACCACAGTCCTCCCCACCACCCACAGGTCCTATACGAACTGGCCTTGTCTATTCTCTACCCTTACCTTCCACTCATTCCCCTCCAGCCACACTGGCCTCCTTCTCTCCAACACACCAGGCAAATTCCTGTGTTAGGGGCCTTGCACTTGCTGTTTTTCTCGCCTGGGACAATCTTCCCTCACATCTTCTCAAGACTTTGCAGGTCTTTGCTCAAACGTCACCTCTTCAGAGAGGCCTCCCCGACCACCCTATCTAAATCGGTACCTCTGCCCTTCTCCATCTGCTACCCTTTTTTATTTCTTTAATCACAGCACATATCGCTACTTAACATAACTTGTTTATACTTCCCTCCCTTCCTTTTTCCTTCCCTCTTTTCCTCTCTTCTTCCCTCTTTTTTTTTCTTCTTTTTCTTATTTTCTCACTTGTCTCCCTCACTAGGATAAAAGTACTATGCTCCCATTCTGCCTTGGTCCCTCTGTTATCCCCAAGACCCGGCACAAAACCTGGCATGCAGTAGGTGTTCAGTCAATCTCTGCTGAATTAATGTGCAAATTTAATAAACAAATATGTGAGTTCCTCTTAGAGTCCACCTTAGCACTCTCTCTGCCCTGGACCAAATTTCCAGCTTTCTTCACCTTCTGTACCCAATCCTGCTTGTTCTACTAGCAGCATTCCTGGAGGAGGGGGGGTGGGGCAGCCCAGACCCTTCGACTTCCCACCAGGCCAAAGGCCTCTGCCATATCCAGCTGCATTTTCGAAGGTTTTCCAGTTTCCCAGGGTGGACCCACTGCCCTGGACACCCAGACTGAGGTCAACTTCTTGCCTCTCTGATCCACCTCTAGTGGGCGACATGTCCAAAGATGCCAGCCCTCTTGCCCTATCTTGGCAACGCCTACTCTCTGAACCTGGTGCCTAGTTTCTGAACCTCACAGTCAATGTCTTCTAAGAGCCTCCTCTGACTGAGCCCCACCCTCTCTATTCTGTAGCCAGAGGGAGCTTTTAAACATAAATCAGACCAGCCACTCCTTTATTTTAAACATCTCCTCAAATGCTCTCCATCACACGTAGAATATATCCAAAGTCCTCACTGTGGCCTTTAAGGTCCTTCCAGATCTAGCCATTGCCAACCTCTCACCTCAACTCTGATCACTCCCTAATTGCAGCTACAGAGCTTCTTTGTGTCCCAAGCTCAGTCCTGCCCTAGGGCCTCTGCACTTGCTGCTCTCTGCCTGGAACTCTCTTTCTCTAGCTCTCCTATGGTTGATTCCTCCTCATGCTCTGGGTCTCAGCCTAAATCCACCTCATCAGAAAGACCCGCCCTGACCTCTCTGTTTCAAGTTGCTGTCCTCTGGCCGTTATCTATTATCTATTATATTTTCATCTTTTATTTCTTTCATAGCACTTGCTCTGATTGGAACTTATCTGATTTATTTATCTGTTCATTATTCAGTCTCTTCTCTCATGGGAGCAGGAATCACGCTGGACTGCTCACCATAAAATCTTTATCACCCAGAAAAAGGCTTGTCACAGAAAAGTAGCAATGGATAAATATCGGTGAGTGATTATTTTCAGTCTCTCCAAGAGGCCACCCTCTCAGTCCCGCACCCTCCTACCTCAGAGCCTTTACTCCTGTGGTTACCGCTCCTGGGGCCCCTTTCCCCATCTCTTCCCTGATTAACCCCCAACTTATCCTTAGGTCTCCCTCAAGTGTTACCTCCTCAGAGAAACCATGTCTTCTGAAGCTCTTACAGCATCCCATTCTTGGCAAACACAATTCTTGTCATGTCTTATAATTATATATTTTTATTTTTATACTTATTTGTATAGTCATTAGTGAGGCCTGTGAGTTCAGGGCAAAGGCTGGGTCTGTCTTACTCCATGCTGTGCTCCCAGCTCCTAGCACAGAGCCAGGTCCAAATCAGGCTTTCGACAAATATTTGTTGAAAGACTAAATGAATGAATAATACATCATGAGCCAAAGATTAGAATCATTCCAATTCCATTCTCCAGTGGGTGAATGAATGAATAAATGAATGAAAGGGGAGCGGAATCCAAGGACTCAGCAGCTAAGACTCCTTGTGACCGCCTTCAAATACCTCCCACCATCACCACCAGCAGAGCTCAGCCCAATCCCCTGGCCATCCAAGGCTCTGGGCCAGATTTTAGGGTGGGGAGACTGGTTACCGTAGTCCTTGGGCAGGGGGGCAGGTGCCGAGGGGTGCACAACAGGCTTCTGCCGGCGCTCTTGGGTGGGGCTGGGGGCCTCCGGAACAGGCTCATCCTCCTCTTCCTCCTCCTCTTCCTCCCCCCGGAGCGGTGGGGCCATTGGGGCTGGATCTGTCTTAGTCATGGTCCTCAGTGGGCCCCGGGGGGCAAGTGCAGAGTTGGGGGCGGCCCTCAGGCAAATCCTGGAGGCAGAGGTGAGCTAAAGAAGGCACCCCATAAGCTCTGGGATCCCAGCCCATAGGAGCTCCCAGGGCTCCATGTCCACAGCTCTGGATTTGGGGCAATCATAAGCACACCCGTTACCTATCAGAGGACCCTGATATGTGGGCCCAGAGCTTATCACTTCCCCTAGGCCCAGCCCCCATTATTCTCTCACGTCAGTCCCCTGAGTCCAGGCCGCCCCCTCCCAAGGTTTGTTTATCTCGGGATGCAGGATGCTTCGCTCCTCCCCTTCTCTGCGGGCCTCCCCTCTATCCATCTTACCTTGGGCAGATGGGGCTGGAGACCAAAGCTGAGACTGAGGGGACTGGAATAACAGGGTGTCAGTATCGGGGGAAGTGGTGGGTGAGAGGAAGGGAGAGAGAGAAAGGGAGAGGGAGAGAGAAAGAGAGAGAGAGAAGGGAACGAGGCCCAGACGCCGAAGGGGGATGGGGATGGAGAGGGAGGGGCGCTGAAGGCGCATGCGTGTTCCCCCTAACAAGGAGCGGGGGAGGAGATACTGGCAAGCTGCTCGCATTGATGAAAAGGCTGAGGAAGAGGTTAGACACCGAGGATGGGGAGAAGAGGTGGAGACGAGGAAGAATGTGAGTGAGACAGACATAGAAGACGAGAGATGAAGCATAAACAAGGGCAAAAAGAGAGAGATGGGAAAGCCAGCACAATTCTTTTTGACCCCTACCCCCATGCATGTGATGGAGCCTTTCCTGTAACAGGCCTGCAAACCAGGTCACTTAGGGCAGGCATCTCGATGTTGGTGGTGATGGGTGTTTTCTCTGAGATCTCAGACCTGACCCCTTTTCTATGTTCGCCTTATATAAGGGATGTCTCAGAGGGATGATTTCTAGCATTATAGTCGTCATTCGACATTATCATCACATACTGCTCATACAGCAATTACCAGGCCCAGAGAAGTTAAGCCATTTGCCCAAGGGCACACAGCAATCACATGATGGAGTGAAGATTTGAAACCAGGCAGCCTGGCTATAATCTGGGCTTTTAATCACCATGATACATGGCAGTAGCAGTGTCTAGAGGACAGATCTGCCAATGGATCCCTCCAACGCTCTCAGAACTGTATCTTCCCCAGAAAGGCCTCCTGTAGCCAACCCAGGGGCCAGGCA